CGCTTCGCATCTTCCTGTGCGCACCGAGGAAGGGGGTTAACTTCGGCTTGTTCTCCGCAGGTACGTCCCTTCTCAGGCTGATATAGCAGTCTTTGAAGCAATCGCTGCCCCACCTCCTGCAGACTTGTTTCATGCTCTTCGGTGGTACAATCATATTAAGTCGTACGAAAAGCAAAAGGCAAGGTATGGTTTAACTGCAAAGGTGCAATCCATGTGTGCGCTGGCCTACAAAGTGTTGCGTTTGTTTCTTCGAGTTTGGATGAAACTTTTTCACTGGTACCATGTGGCTTTTTGTGTTCCTATTGGAACAGGAACAGCTGTAGAAGCAGAGCAGACCTCTTCTGTCAGTACATTACACCTCTCACTCAGAACTTGGGCAACCTGATTCTGGCAGTGTTCAGTTGCTGAGATTTCTGCTAAAGCTTAGAAGAAAGGCTTGAGATTTGTTGCTGCCATTTACATGGAAAACTATGCTGAAAGCTGGAAATTACATGCCAGTAATCGACCCCTAAAGGCAACATCAGAATGGATTAGAAAGTATTACAGGAGTCTTTAAAGATAAACATACAGTACGTTGATGACAAATAAGGAAAGTGGTTCATTCAGGTTTTTAGTCCTGGAAGATAAAACAAAAGCAATGATTTGCAATGCAGAAGCACATACAAAGAAGGGGAAATATGAAAGCAAATGTTATTTTCTTTCTTTTTTAGTGATTTTAGTGTTCATGAAAGGTGCTGTATTGACATCCATGGAGACTGCAGGCCCCTCTAAAAAGGTACAGCATAGGTAGTGTCAGTATTGCTACACTGCCTCCTCTACGTGCCTCAGTCCTGTTTAGACAGAACTCTTGTAAAAAGTTGGGTGGCTCAGTCGCCAGTCCATTTCCAAAGCTCTTACAATACTAAATGGGACTGAGATAAAATTGCTTCACAGAGTCCACACTGTGGAAACTACTTCTAGTTCCTGAAAAATAAAGTTAGTTTTATGACTCTTATAACAGCAGTTCAAGTAAAAATAGAACTATGAGCTTATTTTAAGACTATAGAACTATATGAGCGATAGGTGAAAAGTCACAGGATCAGTTACCTTGCAACAATGTGTTTTCTGTCACTATTAGTTTTTAAACAAATGAAAACATTTTTAGGGAAGCATGAATGTGAAACTGGTAACTCTTCCTGCACAGATTACAGATGAATGATTCTAATAAGAAAACTTTCTATCCATGTGTGTAGGTGGAGCAGCAATGTTGGGCAGGATCATGTCAGCTTAGATGAATGCTCTTTGAATATGGGATTTGCTGTAGTCTCAACTAGCATGTCAGGAGCACTGGGGATTGTCTTTGGGGAGGTTCTGTTTTTGAGTAGCAGAGTTAGATACTTATTTTTTTTAGCACAACATTTACTATGAATGCATTTGTAGGGTCATTGACAAATTGGCAGTAATTGTATTGACATTTGAGTAGGTTCCTAATATCTGCTTGTTTCTTTCAGCTTGCCAGGAGTAAAGAAGGCTTTGGGGAAATATGGTCCTGCTGATGTTGAGGACACAACAGGTGCAGCCACAGATAGCAAAGATGATGATGACATTGATCTTTTTGGATCTGATGATGAGGAGGTACTTGCAACCTTTTTGTATTATATTTGGGGTTTTTAGAAATACCCAGGTATGCAGATTTTTGCCTTTGACTAGTTGAAGTTACTTAAATTTGTGACTTTGGTACCAGACTCTACTTGGAATTCTCAAATTCGCTGTCTTTGCAGAACAAAAAAAACTTGGAAGGTAAAAATTCACAAGTTAGAAAGGAATGTGTTGCAATGGGGAGAACTGTCTACTTCAACTTTGACTGGTTACATGATGAGTAAAACAAAAAATCACCATCTTTCGGCTGACAGTTGTGATGATTTGTTTTTGCCTGAGTAGATGCCAGTCAATTTGGTTATCCTTTAAGGATGTGGGGGTTTGGTGCTTTTCTGAAACTAGATTTCTCTTTCAGGAAAGTGAAGAAGCAAAGAAACTGAGGGAAGAACGTCTGGCCCAATATGAATCTAAGAAGTCCAAAAGTACGTCTACCAAGAACTTACTAATCTTCTTATACTTGGGTTAATTTTGATGCATTTGAAGAGGATGGCTAGAAACACTAATTAACTGAAATAGACAAACTTGACTGGAATGAGACAGGAGTAATTAGCTTCACTTGAATTGCCCATCAGCTTAGCCTTTCCCATAGCAAATGGGAACCTTAACGTAGTTTTTGTCCTGCTTAATACACTCTGGTTTGTCTTAGCCAGAGGCTATATAAAAAGAATGAACCACAGGATTTTCTTTAAAAGTTTAGAGAAAAAGCTGCAATAGGCAAGTCCCTCCACAGTTACTGGTCTGGAACTGTTGAGAACTGTAGCAGTTGCAGTATTCCCTCTGTGGAAAATAAACTGTTACACAGCATTAAGCTCCTTCTCAGATCCTCTGAAAAGGACTTCCTATGTAACAAACAATGTTAGCTGCCTCAACTGAGTTTCCTTGTGAGAGCATTTATCAAGAACAGGTGTGTCTGTATCTTGGACATTGGCATATGGGTAGCTTAAATACTTTTGAAATGTGTTGGTGCATGAGGTCTGTCACAGCCGTGTGAGGAGATTCTTCTTGAAATTGGACAAGTTGTTCTTGTTAAGCTAGTTTGCAAGTATGAGTTTTTGAAGATTTCCTTGACTTTCTTTCCCCAGAACCAGCTGTTGTTGCCAAATCATCAATCTTGCTTGATGTGAAGCCTTGGGATGATGAGACAGACATGGCCAAACTAGAGGAGTGTGTTCGAAGCATTCAGGCAGATGGCTTGGTGTGGGGATCTTGTAAGTAGGAGAAAACCTCAAAGCAGGGAGGGGAGACAGTGTGGGCTCTGAAGAGCGCGTATGAATAGGTGGTTTTGTGGTTGCCGTTTGCTGGTCTGTGAAAATGTGGGTAACTAAACCAGTTTAGGAATTGCAACGCTGCAGTACTTCAGTATCTTGAAATAGTCAACAATGTGTATTAGTGCAGTGGCCAGGCTGAGATTCAAATACAGGTTTTGAAAGCTTTACAACTTTGGCCCTGCTACCCTGCGTCTCCCGGTACGGTTCCTGAAGCAGCAGGCATGCACTTGTACATCCACGCCGCTGGTTTGGAGGGGCGGGGGAACCACAAAACCAAACCCTTTTTACCACCTTGTAATGAGTGCTGCGTGGTTGATTAGGCAGGCTATAATACAGAACAAATTACGGGGTTTTTTATGTATTCCTGCAGACTACTTTGGCCAATTCAATCTTAGATTTGAATTTTTAAGGGATTCTACCAATCAAGGAGTACTAAATAACTTTTTTCTTTTTCTTTTTAGCCAAGCTAGTACCGGTAGGCTATGGTATCAAAAAGCTTCAGATCCAGTGCGTTGTTGAAGATGATAAAGTTGGAACAGATATGCTGGAAGAGAGAATAACAGCTTTTGAAGACTATGTACAATCAATGGATGTAGCTGCTTTCAATAAGATTTAAAGTCTTGATATATCTATAATAAATGTAATTGCAAAAATTGGGCTGTGTCTGTGCTTAATTCAAAATCATGGTGTAATCCAACTCATAAATGTAAAATTTGGTTGATGGGTAAGGCAAAAGCTAAAACTGAATTTCAGGGTTGCTCCAACACCTCACTGTAGTACCCAAGAGCTTGAGCAGAAGAAATAGATTTACATTTACCATTAATCCAGGTTTACATGGCTTTAAAAATGCCCATTTTGGGGGAAGCTGCACTATCTGTAACTCCTCTGGAAGGAGGCCTGGCTTTAAGGGAAAAAGCACAAACCGCTGTTTTCAGCAGTTAAACAGTAGTACAGATTCCTTTTGCTTAATAAGGGTGGTGACTAACCCCCTGTACTGTGGCTTTTATTGAAAGCTGAAACTTGGCTTCCCTGAGGGAGCAGAGAGAAGTGCAGCGGGAGGATCTCTGCAGGGAAGTTACCCGCATTCCCGTCCCTTCCGGCGCCGCTTACTGAGCGCAGCACACGCGGGCGTCGGTCAAAGCTCCCGTGGGGTGTGCGGTACCCCGCACCGTGAGCGGCTGGGCGCGGCGCTGTGCCCTCCCGGCCACCAGGGGGCAGC